GCGTATGTGCGTATGTGCGTATGTGTACATACACACATACACACATACATGCACACATGCACACATACACACATACACACATACACACACTCGCACCTTCCAAGGTGTTTGAACGTATAGATGTAAGGATTTGACGTATAGCTGAATGCCGGAAATCAGCGTTGGCGCACTTTTTCAACAAGGACCAGGATGAACCTAGGCCGTGTCGCATTGTTTGCAATGGGCGACACGGGACTAGGGGTTTAGGGCAGAAAGTCAATTACATATGTATACATATATATATAGGATTGTATCCATAGATATCCTTAACTTGGCTGAACCTATACCATCATAGCCCGAGGCTGAACTGTGCGGCGCTGCTGTGCGCGAGTGAGGCCGAAGCTTTGCCTCCTTTCGCGCAGCGGGCGGTGGGCTGCGCGCTGTTCAGGGCCTGGCCCCGGGTCCGTGTGCCCGGGGCCCAGAGGCGGGGGTTCTATTGTAGGTTGGATGTTATGATTATCATGTATTTGCTGCACTGTTTTCAGCAATTGTGTGCAGATGCTGGATTGAGCTGTGTGTCTTAACTTGTTTGGATGGTTTGTTGGGGAGGGAGGAGTCCAATGGAATGGAAGGTCGGAGTGATTCCGACATGAGAAATTTTAGGCGAAGCTGATAGCTCCCCGAACAGGGGGCTCTCAATGCCTTGTCGTTTCTGCAGTGAGTGGTGAGACATTGCTCTTTGCGTGGTGTGATTGCACACTTGGCATGTCAAAGAGGGATCCCCAAAAAAGGTGGGTTGATTTGGGTTTCCCGATAAAACAGCTCAAACAGGGTACCCCCAAAAATCACACCCAAATACTCCCCCATGCCGATGTAGACAATCGCACCATGGGACTCCGCTCGAGGTTGGAGGAGGATCATCCCCTCTCCGAGGTGGAAGTTCATGGCCTGTGCCCCAGGGATCGGTTCGAGTCTAAACGAACACACCGACATGCATTTCGAGGAGCTGACTACTCTGCAATTAACGTGGAACCCGCAAATCTGGAGTGGCAAAGCACGCCAGGCCAAACCGAATTGGAGTGGCAGCTGGGCCGCGGCAATACGCCCCTCCCGTCGCCGCTCCTTGCCAGTTGTGGGCAGGGAGGGGTCTTACTTTCCGGTCCACAGAGCTTGGTTCTTACCTCCCAGTATTTTCTATCCCTTTCGTTTGCCAGTTTCTTTACCTGAGAAACAAATGCAAGCGTTCGCTTTGGGAGAGGTGAGTGAATCCGGTAGCTGGAGCACCCATTCCCTGACCCTTCAAACATGAGAATGGCCACCTTTCATGAAGGAGGCAAGCTTTTGCATGTGCCTGCCAAACGAGCCCAGGTTTGAAGTTCTGCTGATTCAGCTGGTGCTGCCCGTAGTGGGCGTTTGGGAGTGTGATGGAGGCCACATCTCTATTGTGCGGTCAGAGGGTGAGTTGGCCTCTCGACTCAGCCATGGCTCAGCGACTTTTCCTGTACACTGTACGCGGCCAAGGCAACTGTTGTCGACACCCTAAGCACCTTCCAAAACCAACCCTAAACCCATCATCAACTCCACCCGAACCGAGTTTACATCCACCCTGAATCCACCCGCAATCCACCCTGAATCCGTCAAACCAGCATTACCATAAGCCCTACCGAACCTACCCAAAAGTCCACTGGTGATGCTACAGCTGCCGGTGTGGTCCATTTGCAGAGCCTGTTTTTGTCTTGGCATAAGTCTTGCTTGATGCTTAGCATGTTTTTGTTCCCCCCATTTTATTCCACTTTTTTCGAGGCGAGTCTTCTTTTTCCAAGCTGAAATGCCCCCAAGCGAGGCTTTGCCTAGGAAACCAGCTTTGGTGACATTTCTTCCGCAGCGGGAAACAAAAACAACAGGCAAACTCATTTCCCTCCCCCCCAACAAGAAGAGCAAGTTTTGCACCCCAAACCAATCACCATCCATCCCTTGAACAGTCGGGCGTCCAAATGTTCAATCCTTCAAACCCCAAAGCCCACGGATTTTGACAATAGATCCCGCAAGTCGTGACCCAGTTTCCTTTCTTGCTCTCAACCGGGGTCTCCCTTGCATCGAGGTCTACGTGGACGCGGAGCGCTGGCTGGCGGCAAAGCTGGGCGCCGAACTGAACGGCCCGGCCCTCTTTGCGGGGCTCCTGCCAGATGGAGGGGGCGTGCCTTGGGCTCTGAAGAAACCTGAAAAGAAGGAATCCACACGCCAGCAAGCGCCTGGAAAACCTGGAAGAATCTGTGGCAACTCCTTGAACAACAAAATGTTTTGAAAGCTCCTTTGAACCCACTTGAAAACTCCTTGACCATGACATAATCAACCCGTTGCATACTCATAAGCTCTACCTTTGAAGCCCCCCCAACAGTTCACCTAGCAGTTGACCACTCTCAAACCCCAAAAGGAAAACCTGACTCCTGACCCTTCGAGCCCGGCAAGGTGAGTTGTTTCTCAAATCGTGGAACCCGCTTTGGAAATTTGTGGCCTAGACGGCTCCTTATGACCCTGCAGAAGGATTTACTTGTTGTTCTTCTGTTGTCTCGAAGGTTTCAGACAGCCATCCAACATAAGCGATAAGCTGCCTTGGCGTTTTCACGCCCCCATTGCTTTCACCCATCCTCTTCACTTGGGCCATTTGCTGAAAAGGCACTTGGAAAGGGGGAAGTAGATTTCTGCAAGGTGTGGCTGCGCTTCCCTACGTCCAGCCAGCTGCAAGTCTCGTACCGGCCCTCGTGACTCGACTGGACTTGCAGCTTTTTGTGTTTCGAAATAGCATAACCCCCCAGAATGGGTGGTGTCCTTTTAGGTTTCCCAGTTAACCAACCCCGACAAAGGGTACCCCCAAATAGGACAGACTCATGTAGGTTTTGGCTCTCTATTCCTATAGCTTCACAGGTCGACTGCTTCCTTGACGACCTTCACAGCCACTCGGATCCCGCAGCCGAGCGACCAGCTGGAAACCGTCTCCTTTGTCATGATGCAATGCAGCCACGCCTTTGCTGACGGCTACTGCTTTCCCCCCATCGCCTCCGACCTCTTCACCTACGTAAACCTGGCCGAATCGGGAGAGCTTCAAGCGAACGGCGCGTTGCCCGCCACTGACGCCTTCCGAGTGCTGGAGCAACGGCTGGCCGCCACCTTGCGATTCCGCTTGGATCCCAACCGCCACTCCCTGCGCGGAAGCCTATGGGGGGCCTCCTTCAAGGGCTACTCCTGCAGCCTCTCCCTGGAGGGCGGTACGCTCAAAGTGCTCAAGGTTCCTCAGCTCAAGGAACAGTATTCAACCAAAAGGGCACTCACCATAGGGGCTTCTGCGTTTTCCTTTTTCCCTTTGGACAACCCACAGGGTGTCCCATTTTTGGCACAATTCAACATTGCATGGGAACCCATTGCGAATCCTTCCTTTTCGCCCCGCAAGTCGAAGGCAGTGGCGAGCAATTATCAAGTGCCCTTGAACTACCTGCTTCTCGCAATCGTGACTGCTGCGCAAGCGCGAGCGTCCCATGCGCAAGCTGTGGAGATGACGCTTCTTGGCCCGAACAATCCTTGGTACTTACCTCGTATATGTACAAACAATCATGCAGTAGCTCAATATCCGTGCACACCAGATGAATGAGTAGTTATACCCTTGGTTGTTGCCGTGAGTGTCTTGTGCGCGGGCACGGGTATACAACACACTGGATCACATCTCATTCTCACAGCCGATGCTTCTTGTACTCTATCCATGTTCGAACATCCAGCGCCCAAGAAATCCATCAGAATCCTAAGCTTGAAGTGAGCGTCACAAGCTCGTGGTCGGGCCAGACACGAGACATCGTTGATCCACTTGATTGACACATGTGCTCGCTCGATGTTATGGGCGTTCAACGTTTTTGTCTTTCTTCTTTGGGTTGGCCACATCTATAACGGTTGGCCAGCATAGGCGGTTGGCGCATCACCTACTGTAGATGGTGCACGCATCCGCTGCTGAGCCACGGTAGGATCCCAAGAGATCACATGCCTTTTGCCTCAATACGTTTTACAGCTTTTTGTCATTTTATTTTGACTAACGTTGGAGCAGGGAAGCCAGCAAGTTACGTGGCATCTTTCCGTTACCACGATTTCTTTCATGAGTCTAAGGCTGTATGTACCCATGCGAGATGGAATCGAATCAGGACACTTGGCATGCAAGCCTCACGACAGAGACGGGAGCGAGCGTGAGAGGTTGCTGCCGTGGGAAGCCGTTTCCAGTTCGGAAGCCACTCAGAGCTTGACTTTGCGCGGGATTGGACTTGGGTATTCCATCGGCCAGGACCATACATAGCTCAACTAGCACATGGTTAGTTGTTCATGAAAAGAATTCCCGAGGAATGGTTGGCTTGTTTGCTGACTGGCGAGACATCACTGTGTCCACCGACTTTGAAGATGCCACCATCCTGGGTGTCATCCTTGAAGTGGCTGATATTCTGCGTCTGCGCCGATGGACGGTCTTCGACGCTGTCAGTGCCTGGGCTTTTCTCTTTGGCGGAAGTTGTCCAGAGAACCTAAGCTAGGAATGCACCAACCAACAATTGAAGGAGAAGGAACGCGAAGGAAAATAGAAGGAAAGGAAAGGAGCGAAAGGAAATAACAGGAAGATACGGAAGTTCGGAGGTAAGGAAGGAAGAAAGACAGACAGACCGATGGACGAGCATAGATAACATAGTTCAACGGAGATAACGAACAGGAGGAAGGGAAGAAAGAAAGGAAGGACAGTAAGAAGGACAGCGACAGACAGACAGACAGACAGACAGACAGACAGACAGACAGACAGACAGAAAGAAAGAAAGAAAGAAAGAAAGAAAGAAAGAAAGAACGAAAGAAAGAAAGAAAGAAAGAAAGTAAGAAATAACGAAAGAACAACATAACGAAAGAACGAAATCAAGAAATGAAGACAGACAGACAGGCAGACAGACAGTCAGGCAGGCAGGCAGACAGACAGACAGACAGATAGATGAACACGCGGACACACAGACCAACAGACCAACAGACGAACAGACCACCAGTCCAACAGCGAAACAGACAAACAGACAGACAGACTGACAGACAGACTGACAGACAGACAGACAGACAGACAGTGACAGGAGTGAGGGAGGAAGAGAGGGAGGGAGGGAGGGAGGGAGGGAGGGGGGAGGGAGGGAGGGAGGGAGGGAGGGAGGGAGGGAGGGAGGGGGAAAGGAAAGGAAGGAAGGAAGGAAGGAAGGAAGGAAGGAAGGAAGGAAGGAAGGAAGGAAGGAAGGAAGGAAGGAAGGAAGGAAGGAAGGAAGGAAGGAAGGAAGGAAGGAAGGGGACAGTCACATATATACAAAGACAGATAACACAACCCAAGACAGACATGGTATAAGAAAGGCAAGCAAGGCATCGCAAATAGTAACCAACCCACCAACCAAGCAACCACAGAGACAGACGGAGACAGTCAGACAGAGACAGACTGCGACAGACAGAGACAGACAGAGACAGACACGGAGACAGAGACAGACGGAGACAGACGGACAAGGAGAGAGAGATAGAAAGAGAGAGAGAGAGAGAGAGAGAGAGGGAGAGAGTGTCAGCCAGGCAGGCAGGTAGGTAGGCAGTCAATGAGACAGACAGACAGAGACAAGCATAGACAGACGCCACGCGTAGACAGATAGAAACGCACAGAGACAGACGGAGACAGACACAGGCATGATTTGTTGTAGATGAATCCTTGCACAATTTGGTTGACTGTGTGCAGATAGACTTAGCCATCACAAGAGTCAGGAAGCGATCGGAGTTTCCATGAGCCAGTCGCATGCCTCAGGGAAAGCTGAGCGGACCGTGGTGAATTTCGACCAGCGGGATGTGCGCGACCACAGCGGATTTGTGCAGGTTTCAGACACTTTCTGGCGACCTGGACGGGCTCGCAATTGGAATCAATGGGAGTGGCTTGCTCAACCGCTTCAAATCGACCTGGTGGAGTCCTGGTATGCCTGTATGAAGCTGTTGCTTTTGCATCGTCTTCCTGATCATTTGTTGTCTGATCTGTTTCATCTTCTCATGCTTCCTTCTCGCACTGGTGTTCTCCTGCCAGCTGAGGAGGAGCACCATGCTCGATGGCACATTTATGTCCGAATGTGCTATGAGACGCTTGTCTTTCATTCAGGCGTAGGCTCGATACGCGTCAAGTCTATCCAGTTTGACGTTTGCCGAACTTCTTGGCTTCTGGGCCTGATCTGAGGCTGTACCCGGTCAGCTGGCGCCGAGACTTTGTGCAAGGCATCCGGGACGCGACCTGGTACGCCATATTTCAGCCCTGGCAGCTGGCAGCGTGGCCGCAAGAGTAGGCTTTGGATTATTCACTCGCTGAGTTATTTGCATGACCTGAGGTGCACCAGCCCTTTGCAAGCGAGACGGCGAGCGGAGAAAAGACATCACCGCCCGAGATGCACTTGGGTCTGCCGTTTTTTGAAGGACCCGTTGTTTTTTTTTAAAGGAAACCGAAAGGACAACTACCATTTTGGAGGGGTCCCCCCTAAAAAGGGCACACTCACTTCGGACTTTGCGCGACTTTGTCAGGTGATCCCCTGGCACTCGTCCAAGGAGGGGGGCGTGTCCTTCCAAGAGGACTGGAGAAACCATGCGGAGGAACCGTGCGGGCGGGTCCCGCTCTGGTGTTGCGCAGGACCTTGTTTTCGACAAGCCGCGGAACAGCATGCAAGTCAAGGACGGGGTTGGGACATCTTAATGCGTTGCATGGCTGCAACTGCCCAACTGCCCAGATTGAGATGAAGCAGCCCAAAGAGTGGGGCTACTTCGGTGGTGGCCTTACTCTCCGCGCGGTGCGCGTTGATTCATTGATGCCCGAGGCATCAACCAGGCCAGCTTGGAGCTCACCTAGGCGAAGTTGCCCAGTTTGTTGCTTCAGTTTGAGCTGAGCTGTCGTGATTTTGGTGGAGCGCTTATGGCGTGCACACCTACGGGCATCGTTGACGACATGTGTCCGCGGCAGAAAACGCATTGTCACCACCCGAACAGCCCCCAACCTTGCTGGGGGCTAAACATTTCCCGGAGGGCCACTTTTTCCGACACCTCCTGATTAACATCCCCCCCCCAATACAACAAACACATCATGTAGGGGAATCTCCTTTTGGGTTAATCTGAAGAGAAGATGTCTGGATGTGCTTGCCAGGAGCTGCCACCTGGCACGAGCTTGGCGCGCTGCCAAAAGGAGTTGGCTTTCTTTGTGCCTTTGCGTCGAGCACTGAACTCCGCTTAGTTTGGCATGGCTCACATGACCTGGCCACTGTTCGGTTTCCGTGAGTTTTTGGCTCGGGGCGTCCGCGATCAAGCACCATGCTTGCGGCAGCCTCAGCTTCGGTGCGCCGACCTTGTAGCGTTGGCGGAGTGTCAGGTGCAGCCAGCTTTTGTGAGCCCGGCACAGCCGCTGGCAATCCGGTTGCAGGCGCAAGTCACATGTGCCCATGGCGTTCAGTTGCCAAGATTGGGAAGCCCCTTCATGGTTGATGCAATCATATAGGTTCAGAGCTTTCTCAGCTCGCAGAGTCGGAGAGCGTGAAGTGACAGAGCGAGGTGCCGACCAAGACCAGCCAGCGGACTCGCCCCAGTCAGCAGGCAGGGAGCCTTGGGGCCGGCATGTCTTGTTTTAGCACACCTCTGCCCGGGTCAATGGCTTGAGGGGAGTGCCGCAGCGCTGCTGGGAACAGCGGCGCTCATTGCTGCGGGGCGGCCTGGTTTTTGTTTTGCAACGCGTGAGCAAGTGGCAAGAGGTCGTTGCAGGTCATGTTTGATTGTGGGCAATGGGACCCGCTGATGGTATTGGGGCAGAGGAGAAAAGGGATGTGGACCGCCCCCAGAGCACACCGATACTAGTGTTCAGGCTTCGATTCCTATTTTCGCACTCGTTTTGAAGCCAGCGTGGTGTGAGCAACGGTCAATCCTCTCCCAAATCCATGAGAAAATGTGGAACATCGAGGGGTTGGGCCCTTAGGTGCTGTGGGATGCCCTTCCAAAAGCCATGTACGTTGGGGCACTCTGGCTAGCAGGGGCTCCCGTCCGCTGTTGCAAGGCTGTGGGCCAAAGACGCCGTGTGGCGGTCAAGGCAAAGTCGGAGGACTGCCATCGGCGACTTCAGATGCCCTCTGATCAAAACCGCTTCGGTTCCCTTGGAAGAAAGAAGCTCCTCTTTTGTTTCTTCACCATTGGGTTTCGGGACCTCCATTCTCTTAACCTTCCTCCCAGCGAAAAAATGGCAAATTGTTTGACTCGCAAAGGGTCAAAGACCTGACCTTGTGAACGCTTATCAACATTGTTTGTGCATTTTCGTCCACCATTGTGCCTGCGGGCGGTAAGATGTAAGATGCTACGGTCAGTACAAGTGTTTAATCTGCCGGAGCTGAGCTGAGGACCAGCCGGACAACTTCCTGGCGGCCGTGTCTGCCCTAGGCTTTTCCTGGAAGGCGATGTGCATGGTTTTGGCTGATGAAAATCAAATTCAACTTCCATTTCCGCCAGTTTCGTGGAATTCAGGTCCGTCTCAAATCCCCTCCCTGTGGCTTCCCTCCAAACCACCCCACAAATGGTACCGTCAAAAAAGAGAGGCCCAGGTCTCAGTTGGAAGTTCTCCCACCTTGGGCCGCGACGGCGAAGCCGATCGCTGGATCGATCGTGATCGGATCGAGGTGGGCCGCCGCGCCTCGTTGGCGCTACCCAGCGCTCTGGTGGCCGGGGCCTAAGCTTGGGGCAAGGGTTGACCCAGGGATTGTGTGGTGTTTTCTTCAAACTAGGGACACCTTCAAGCGGCTCAAGTGGTTGGTTTGCCCTTCAACCCATCCGAAAACGGGATCCCCCCCATGCGCAAAACGTGGGGAAATGACCAGACTTGATGGTAGTTGAAGAGTCTGTGGAGAGGGCATGTCCCTAATTTCCCAACGCTCATTGCTTTTGACCCACCCATGTCCTCTGCCATGGGAAACAACGAGGAATTCTTTGGACATGGCCATGGTAGGCCTTGGACTTCTGCAATGAATGAGTTCTTGGGCATGCCTCATACATGTTCGTGCCAAGCGAGATAGTTTTTCTGAGAGGACACGCATCTTTGGGAGATTCTCGGCTTAAGACATGTCCAGGCCGGTGCTCCTGCATACGCTGAGTACGAAATTGCTGCTTGGCTTGGCTTGGGGAGTCAGTCGGGTTAAATTTGTAGGACCAGGATACATGTGTGTACACGATGTGTGTGGCAACTGTGCGCAGCTGACACTGACATCGCGACAGCACATTGCAGGCCCCTGCTCCCCTGCTGGAAGCATGAGCAGAAGGAGCCTCTTCAAAAGAATCCTGTGACCGTTCAACCTCTGGTTCCTAAGGTTCGTTCCTTCAGAATTTGTTGAAATACAAGTTCTTTGAAGAGGTGAGGGTCCGGTGAAGGGGAAAAAAGTCAGGCAGCAAGCCACACCGTTTTGCCCTCAGAGGATTCGGGAAAATGTCCGACGCAGCTTCCCAGGTTTCATTTTTTCCATTGCCGGGAAGAGAGCCGCCAGTCCATTCTTTTCCTTTCCTGTCGCCCGGGGGGATTTTCGCTGAGATCGACCTCCGGGGCCGCGCGGAAAACGGGTGCATCGAGTGCGCCAAAGCCTCGGCTCTCGGCTCCGTTTCGAAGACGTGGCGCGAGTGCTCGGACGAGTTCTCGGCTAAGGGCACCAGCGGCCTGGTGAACTGCCCGGGAGCTCGAGGGTAGAGGTAACGCCTGGGGCATGGGTCTGTTCCGTGGTCGGGTACCTGTTGGCCAGAAAAGCAAGGCAGGGCGATCTGGCGACCGCGCAGGCTGACGATGGTTTTGGGAGAAGAGCTCATAGGGCTGGCCTGGTTCGCCACCGTTGATCCATTTGGACCTTTGAACAAAAAACCGAGGCAACATGTGCGAAGGCACGGGCCAGTACAGGACGCCTGGGCCTCAGCCTGTGCAGAGCAACTTGTGAGAGACTGATCCGTCAGGTGGGGTACACCCCAAGAGCGCCGGGAGCCCAGGGGGACAGAACTGGTGAAAGCTCCAAGAAAAGGAAAAAAGAGGTAGCATGCCACTGGGAAGACCCCGTGCCAGCAAACTGGGTTTGTCTTCAAACCAATATGTATTTGCAGGGTTCCAGTGTTTTTGACTACCCCAAGCTAGACTTAAGCCCAGGGGTTCCTCCCTCTGTTGGCGGGAATGAACCACCCTTGGGTTTAAGTCTACCCGGGGTAGTCAAGAAGTAGAGCCCTGCCTGTTTGCCTTCCTTCTCAAAACAGCCCCAAAACGCATGCCATCAAAAGCTCACTCATCCATGTGACTCTGGAATATGTGAGGCCCTCAAATGGTTGGCGAACACAAATCATTTGCTTCAATGATGTTCACTACAGGGTCCATTGCCATGCTGACCCCGCATCAAGCCCTACTAAATTGTTGATTGGGGAGTGTCCCATTGAGGGAAGTGGCGCCCAATGAATCTCAACAGTACCCGACTGACAAAATGATGGACGAGAAGCCGGGGACAACCCACGATAGGACTTGTTTCGACCCGAAGATTTCTTCCGCAGTTTTTGAGGCACCCCAGTCCAGCAGTACCTGACCTGCCTGGCCCTCGGGTTTGGGCTCTTGGCTGCCTGTTTTTGAGGGGATCTCTCTTGTGGTTTTTAAGAAAAACCAAAAGGAGGCTGAAAAAGCTGTTTTGATAGGCCCTGGCCAGTTTTCAATGTTCGGCTCATCAATTTTGGGGTCAAAAGAAAAGGACCAGGGCAGAGCTGACTTTGAGAATGGCAGGTGTGCCTCCAAATGGACCCTCACAAGCCATCGATTTGTAGATGACAACCCACGGTTTCCTTGCGCAAGGTCCGGAGTGCAACGGCCTGGGGGAGAAGGTGTGCCAGAAGTGTGGCGGCACCGGGCTCCCGGCCGAAAGCCGAGTCGGCAGAGAAGTCGCTTGCCCCTTCCCCGTCCAAAGCCAAAAAGCCAATGAAGATTATCCAAAGTTCATGAGTTTCAGGATGCCTCGCGGTCTGAGGCCAAGAAGCTCAAGGGCCTCTTGCGCGACCCCATCTTCGCGAAGGTCGCGTTCCGGCTGAAGCGCCAGAGGCACCATGGAGCGCGCCATCGCGCGCCGCACCGCTTCCCTTGCCTCCTTGGGAGCTTTCAAGGGGTGCGCGTAGTTTCCGGCGAATGTTCGAAAAGGGTTCCGAACCCCGAAAAGGGCCAGCAACTCGCACCATGGGCGGAGTTTGCTGGAACACCCCGGCGCGCGTGGTTTGAGGGTGGACGTGAACACGGTAGACAAGATGAAGGCCGATGTGCGCAAAGCGGTCGCGGCCGCGGAGAAGCGCTCGGGTCCCATGGGAAGAGCCGGAACCAACCGGCTCGCCCCCAGTGCAACTTGTGGAGCCGGTTCCGAAGCCAGGGCTTCCCTTTGTTTCTTTGCGGGTGGTTCGGGCCCGTGGGGACAGCCAAACGTTGGCGGGGCAGGCTCCCAAAACGACGTGCCTCTTTTTCGACAGGCACTTTGAAAGGCGGAGCTGTCCTTGCGCCAAAATGAAATCAGGGATTCCTGGGTAGGGAGGGCGACGTCAAAAGCTTCAAAAGGTGATTCCTCTGCAAGATGATTCCTTCTGGAATTAGTGTGACTTGTTTTTTTGTTCGCGGACCCTGGACTGAGCAAGCTCTCTTATTCATCCCCCCACAGGTTGCCAGTTGAATGCCTTTTGTTGAGAAGCACAAATCCCCATGTTTGGTTTTCGTGCCGAAAAACGATTTTTCTATGGGCGTGACCTTGCTGCCCAAGGTGCGGAAGAGAAAGCTGAATCCGTTTAACCGCAGTCCGATGCCCGCCGCCGTGGCTGCACAGTTTGTTTTGAGCTCTCTGAGAGATGCAAGTGATCTACGTGGATCAGCGAATACCCTCGAGAAATGCTCTTGGACAAATGCGTTGCGCACTGAGAGTAAGGTTTGTGAGGCTCGGGAAAACATAGGAACTCTCTTTGGGGGCCATCTCTGCCCAAAACAGGGCCGCCAAGTGACAAGTGTGAAGCGCACTCCTTGCATTTGGCCAGCTTGTAGCTTTGGTGAAGCCTCCTAGCGCGTTCCCCACGCCATTCCCTTAAGCAAGTGCAATGGATTGACTCTGGCATGTGGCTGAACCCCGCGCTGCCAGATCGTGCTGTTAGACAATATCTAGCACATGGCAACGCCAAACCCACTTTCGTTTGCGCATAATGCCGCCAACGCAGAACATCTGCCTGAAGTTTGCCGGGTCCAGACCCTGCTTGCGCCATGATTGGACCAAGCATGCCGCCTACGTCCAAGTTCCAGGCTCAGATGGTCAGATGGATGTGGATTTCCTTGAGAGGCATTTGACCCATGAGGGGTGCGGGGCCGGATGTGACCTATGGGAGCTTTGGCCCAAATTGGGCGCGAAAGCGCCCAACCCGGCTCCCTGCGTTCGGTGTGATGGACATCTCCATGAGCAAATGCGCCTTGACGGCTTTCGGAGTAAGCCTTGGCAAGGGACCGGGAGTCTCCTTTGGGCCCCGGTTTCGTTTCCATTTGATTTGCAGAGCAAATATGGTGTGATGTATAGGACAAAGTTGAGCTGGTAAGTGTGAAAAGGTTAGCCTAGTCCAAGCAGTTGCCAACAGGTGATTCTCGTGGTTTATATCAAGCTGTGTTTTTGTAGAGAGCTCGTCACTGTGAGAGTGCGTATTTTTCGCACTTTGAATGGACATTCGAGCTGAACTCTTTTTGAATAGCTTGTGTTTAAATGTTAGCTGATTTGCCAAGACATTCTATTGGAAAGAACATCCAGTGCAAGTTCAATTTGAAATGAATGAGTTCTATTTTAAACATGGACATTGTGATTGGTACTCCCTTATCAAATCCTGTTTAAACTTCAAGTGAATGGCAAGTTCTATTAGGCTATACTTTTCAGTTGGATTATCTAAATTCTACAATTTTGTGATTAGCCATGTCTTAAACCATCACCAGGGATGTCGCGATAGTGACTGACCGGTGGTGTTTGGCTCAAGTTTGCGGGTCCGTCGCGCCTCGGATGAGCGTCGCCGGGTCCCCGCGTCGATCACCTTCGTGTCGGTGGAGAAAGAGACATCGGCCCGGGGCAGATTGGTGGGGTCCGCCCGTGCGGTTCATCGTCGATCAAGGTTGCGGGTACTTGTTTACTTGTTTTGGTATTTCCCTTTTGGTTGTTGTTCTCTGGTGTGTGGGAAACCCTGATCTTTGGGACCGGGGATTGGTTTGCTTTTGGGGAACCTTTCTTTTGTGGCTTGTTTACCCCAACTTACCCATTGCCTGGGCACAGGCTCGTGCCCGAATCACAGGTTATCAGCCGTAGGACTTTCCTACGCGCTTGAGACCATCAACTACAAGCTCTATGTCGACCCCACGATCGCACAGGAGTGTCGTGGATGAGGAGGCCATCCTAGGGGGCCTCCGCTCAGGTGAGGACCTACCGGAGGATTTCGAAGCAGGTTCGGCAGGTCAGGACCGCAGGGGTGAAGATCCCGGTAGGGACACACCCAGGAGCCGTGGCAGGTACACCGACGATGGAGACGATCGCATTTTCCGTCAGGCCACTGATGATGAGCAGATACGAAGGGTTCGCTCCGATAGGAGCGGCTCTGAATCAGGTCACAGGCGCGGACAGTTCGACTTCATCAGCATGGCGATGAACATGGCCCGCCCTCATTCGGACGACCCGGAGGCCATGCCGACCCGACCCCCGAGACCTCTTGTTCCAGGTGAATCGCAGGTCTCGGATGCGTTTGAGGACAGGCCGCAGGGACCAGGGATTATGGTTTTGGCTCCGAGAGATATCTCGGGTCGATCCACTGGTTCTCAAAATCCAGGTCAGTTTGATGAGCACGAGGAGCGGAAATTCACAGGCTTCGGATACGATGCTCTGTTGAAATCAACCGCAGGTTGGGGCAGTAGCTCAAAGCAGGGATCTGATGCCGATAGGCCCAACCCTAATACTGCCAAGTCTGAGCTTGATAATGGCGAAGATTACAATTTTGCGGATGAGGAGGACGACGGATCACGCCGAAATGCTAGGATCCGTGATGCTGCGAGGCCCAGGAGCCTCTCTCGTGGAGCCGCCAGGGACCTTCGTGTCAGGGACGCCCGAGGCGAGAGAGAGAGAGAGCCAGGGATAGTCGGGAAGTTCTTCGGGGATTGGAGGCCATCCATGACCGGGAGGGACCGATAGGTCCCCCAGTAATTGGTGATACCCCGAATGTTCCCCCTTTTCCCAACATTACATTTGGAGGTCCGTTGAATCAGAGAGACGAGAATGCGAACCGGGTTACTGGTTCGCCGAGGATCACTGAACGGGCTGCCGATGTCGTTAGGACAGGTGCCCGAGATGGTCGGCTTGCCGATGCACTTGGAATCGAAGATCGTTCGTCGATTGCTAGCCCGTTAGGGCGAGATCCCAGCGACCTTGAAACACTAAGGTCTAGCAACGAGTTCACGTAGTGCTTCCTCGAAGAGGCCGTCGCCCCTGGCCATTGAGACCGATAGGTCAAAGGCGAGGAGGGCTAGCCCTTCACCGTTAGGTTCAACCCAGCAGGATGAGGAAATGTTCGACCCTGCTGATGTTCATATCCATTCTACTCCAGAGTCTCGCGCATCTAATGTTGATCCCCGATCTGGCGATAGCCGGAGAAGGGGATCAACCCCGAGTAGGCCACCCAGGATTGATGATTGTCCTGTAGGCGACCCCAGAAGATATGCCGGAGTAGTGGGGTTCCTGAGAGGATCGAAATATCGACTCTTCAGCTCTGAGATCCAGTCTTTCGGTGAGCCAGGTGACGCTAGGGCAAAGGAGGTGTTCGATTTGCACATCCAGGAGATGCTCGAGAGGGGTGAGGTGTCTGGTTCAGTCGCGAAGGCGTTCCATATTTTTGCTGACCAAATCAGGTTACTGAACGGTCAGGTGGGTTCCATGCTTAAAGGAGTGGAGCGACGAGAATCAGCAGACGAAGGACAAGGTCAATCGTTTGGCGACTGAGATTGCGACTCAATCTGATGCCGGTAGGATGCGAATGATAGTTCAGCGGTTCGCCAGTGAGATCGTCCCGGATAGCAGGGCCATTGTGAGGCAAGCCATCGATGAACAGGCTGAAGTCGTGGATCAGAGGATCAATTTGCTTTCCCACGAGGTTCATGAATCTGTTAAGGACAATGAGATCGCAACTGATCAGCTTCGTCAGATGATTCAAGAGAATCGTGAGGCCACCCGCAGGAGCCATGCTGCTTCCGAGGATGAGATCCTTAAGGACTTAGACAAGCTCGAGGGACGGATGTTCTCGGTAGAGAAAACCGTTGGGATGCGGACGCCAGCAGGTGAATGGATTTTGAGTCCTGCTGCGCAATTGCCCGATAGGGCTACCAGCAGTGGAGCGAACGCGAGTTTCAGGGAGTTAAGCCTGAAGCTCGAGAAGGTTCTTCTTGAACACGAGAAGTTTGCTAAGTGGGCCTCCGAATCTATTGGTGGTATTAATGAAGAACAAATCATTCTTGCTGATCGAATGTCGAGGCTGCAAAGTGGGAGGGGGTCCCAGGCGGTCGATAGACCATCAGGGCCTGTTTCCCCGCAGGACTGGCATGAAGCAATTGACGAGGTCAATCGAAAGGTCCAGGATCTATCTCGCGGAGTTCAACGCCAACATCGGGATCATGACGATGTCATCGCGAGATTTGGGGCCGTGAAATCCCATGTTGAGCAGTATGAAGCGAGATCGGGAATTCTGAACCGGGTCCTTGATGACATCAGAAGACAGATCCGTAATCTCCCTGCGAATAGTGATCAAGCGCGGTCTGCCGTTAGGCGTGAACTCGATTCATTTCGGAATACGCTTGAAGGCGCAATGCGGAGAATCACTACTGTCGAGAGTAACATGCGTACTCTTAATGGAATGAACAACAGAATCATGGCACAGCTCTCTGAAATTGAAGGTCATGTTGATGAGGCTGCTGGCATTATTCAGGGTGTTCAGGACAATCAGATGAATCCTCAACAACCCAGAGAAAGACGGAATGTTGGATACAATGCTTTTGCGGGGCAGGGACATAGAATCAGGTCTCCGACGCCCACTCCCGGGGAAGGTAACGGTCGGGGTACTGGCCTTCCGGTGAGACCGGGCGGGGGTGTTGATTTGGCTGATCATGTTTTGCCAAATGTGCCCGGTAGGGTCGATCCTTCTCATGCAGGCAGGCATCCCATTCATCCCGATAGGGAGAGGGCTGACAGCAGAAGCAGGAGGGCTCGGGGACTGCCTGACAGGTCGCATTCCCCGCCGGGGCGAGTGAGGGTGCATTCACCGCCAGGGCGTGCGAGGGATAGCCCCCGCGCGCGCGCAAGGGGGGACATTTCTGTTTCTCCCAGCAGGGGTGTGGGTAGGAATAGGAGCCCGAGGCCTGCTGCCGTCCCCGATAGGGGATCTGAGGTCCGGAGTCGGCAATCGAGGGGGGAAAGGCCAATCCGCGATAGCGGGAGCATTTCTCCGAACCTGGATAGGCCGATCCGCGATAGCGGGAGCGTCTCTCCGAACCCAGACCGTCATCCAGGAGGTGGTAGGGGTAATAGGGCCCATGCCGACATCCAGAGTCCCGGCTCCTGGGAGTAGAGCTCGTGCCGATATCCAGAGTCCCGGCGATAGCTGGAGGACCCCTGGAACTCCATCCGATCGTGGACGGGCCTCGGCACCGGCCGCAAGAGGAGCTCCCGGTACCGGTGGCCCAGGTGCGCCAAAGATCTGTGCCCTCGATGATCCCAACGACCGTAGGCGCCTCGACGCTGAATTCTCGTGTGTTACGTGCAATCGTGAGTTTTGCAGGCTTTGCCGGGGCGACGATGGGGACTGTTGCAATTGTCACTTCTTGAAGATGAAATGTTGGGCATGTCGTAAAAGTGCCCAGGAGGTCTCTATGTATTCCTGCACGGAGTGTGGGAACCACATCTGTGAGGACCACAGTCATTTTGGCAGTGATGGCCTCGAGCGATGTGCGCGCTGTAATATTCATGAACGCGCTGAAGCTGGACCGCCCCCTCCTCCTCCTCCTCCTGGGGGAGGAGGTGGGCAAGGCGGACCATCCGGCCAAGGTGGGGGCGGAAGTGATGGTCATGGACATGCTCCATTTCCACCACCAGGACCTGGGCATCGCGGTGGAGGCCAAGGTCCCGCTGGACCTCCTGGCGGTCCGAGTGGTGGGCTCCAACCGGGGGATACCCTGGTGGAGCGTCCGGGTTCCATGGCACTGCTGCTGACTCTCATGGGGCTGAGAACAACCAGTATGGTTCGAGTTTCTATGGTCCTGCTTTTGGGGGTGGTGTCTACAATCAAGGCGTCGGGTTAGCCAGCAAGGCGTTGCTCCGGGTTACCCTGCGAGCATTGGGCGTGCCAGTAACCCCGGAGTCATGGCTACAGTGTCAATGGAGCCGGTAGGCCAGGAGAT